CCACCCCAGGCTTCCTGTGACCTACTTCAAGGGCCAAAACACCACTTCACTGTCCCCTCACGCTGCTGGGGCCAGCACTGAACCATCCRCAGCAGTTTAATCCACATTAATTCCAGGGTGACAAGCTAAGGGACAGGGCTGGAGAGTAAAAGGAAACAGCTCCCACTGGAAGGAACGAGAGCAGGAAAAAGGGCAGGAAAGAGGGGTTTGAGCAGCTCATGTTTGGGGCAGTGATGGTGATCTGCTGAATATCTGTGATAAAATCCAACTCTGTCACTGTGCACTGAGCTGACACAGACAYTCACCACTCAATCTTCCTTTTCTCTGTCTCCTGGACCCCACAGGTGGTGCTGGAGCAGCGTCAGAACAAAACTGACCCTTACACCCTCCACTTTCAAATTTGTATCCCTATTTATGGTGTGACTATCATCATCACGATACAAATATCAGCAAAGATTTCATCCATTCATGTGATTTCCTGATACTCATTTAACTAATAATCTGGTCTCATTCTATCATTCTTCCTCWATTTCTTTTTACATAAAACACCTCTTCCATTCCTGATTTGACAGTGGTATGAGTTACTTGACCCCAAACTACTGAGAGGCTCAGAAATAACCAGTTGCAAACATGAAATATGATGCTTGAAACATGATGAAGAACCGTGATTTCCATCCTCCACAGGCAATGAATTGATAAAGAAGAAGGGGATATCTTCTAYTGAAARCCATCCCAAAGATGATCTACACAGMAGGATGTGACTCTCCCCATCAGAGGCGAGACTGACGTGTTGTGAGACGGAGCAGGAATTTATTTTGTCAGATCACAGAGGTGTGAACTGACAGCTACAAAGAGATCATTCTATTATCCTGGAAGGAATGCACCAGCTGATGGGTAAATACAGCAAAATTACTGCAACAGGTAAGAGTCATGAAACTGGAACAGCAACACCAATCTGATTTGCCCCCAAACTGTATCAGATTAAAGGAATAAAGTATTAGCACACAGGATCAGCTCACACAAGGAAATGCTCTGCTCCTGCTGCACCTCTGCAACTTCTAGTGCATGTGGTACACCTGGCTGACAAGAAATGCTAAGCAATCAGTAAAAAAAAATAATTTATAGGATGCATTTGTATGAATCCTTTGGAAGCATGTGTGGCTCTCCTTTACAGCACTTGAGCTGGAATTCTGTTCAATACCTGTTCTGAACCAGCTCACCTTTTTAACATTAAAGAGAAAAAAGAAACGCTTCACACTAAAATCTTTGTAGTCAAGGCAGAGGCCTGTGACACCTATAAATATTAAGTGTATTAATCAGGTTATACTGAACACTRGCTTGCCTTGAACTCAAACACGAGGGTAAGGAACAGTGTAATCAACACCAGCATGAAGGAATTTATACACCCTGGTGGCATTGCCTGGCACAATGARCATTTTACATCAGCCTGCAAACAATGGGACTGCCCTGAGGAGGAGAACAAAGCCCTGCAGGCTGGGCTGCCCACGGGTTAAACCACAACATTAGTATTTGTGCATCCATCCCCAATCAGAAACCACTGTTTATTARGGTTTCAATTTAAAATGTACTCTTGCACCCTACTGTTTTCACATACTACTTCTATTTAYGATTGCCCAGCTCTTTTCCCCTATCATTTCCCGTTTATATTTGCAGTAGTTAYCTCAGCTGAGACAAAAACGGTTGGGTTTCCATCTGGCCATTTATTTCTCTCCTTAGCTGTGCCTTCTCCCAGCTCCTACCATCAGTGTTATGYCCAATTTAGAGCCATTTCTCATTCTAAATGAATTTTTTCTCTAGTGTTAAATAATACCTAAGCTGTCCSTCCTCCCCCTGCTCACAGTAAACAGTGTTTATCATGTAAAAAACTTAATGTCACTCTCTCTATGGTCACCTTGGGGCATCTCAGCAGAGAAAATCTTTTATAATGGCACACACAGCAGCTTTGGGTGGCAGCAAGGTGATCAGCATGACTGTCTGCTCTATTAACAGTAAAACCATAGCCTTTCAGAGTTTATGGATTTCAAAGAGGGMAGAGAAAATCATAGAGGCACAGAAAGTTTTGAAGCTGCAGTACCATGAATCAATGATATATAAAGAAGTTATTTTCTATTCAGGCACACCTTGATGAAATGCAGGCAGGAAAAAAAATGCTGCAGCACTACTCTGTGTGGTAATTAAAGTGTTGTCTTGGTTTAAATAAATTAAATCCTGCTTTACAAAGGTTCTGTGGAACGCTGAATCCAAAATGCAAGAATGTATTTTTTACAATTTTTTTTTCTACTGTTTTAAGGGGCTTTAGTAAGAGTCATGATATTAAAAAAAAACAAACAAACAAACAAACAAACAAACAAACCAAAACCCAAAAAAACAACCAAACAAAAACCACCAGAAAAAAACCATGAAATTATGCCATTTAGTTTAAAGACTTTATCATTTCTTATCCAGTTTGCAAAAGGAACCCAATACAAGAATTACATGCAACCCTTTCCACACCCTTTGAGAGGGGCAGTAAGGTAAGTGAAGCAAAGTGAGGAAATGTTGTGACACCAGGCTGTTACCTTCCCAAGGAGATACAGAGCTGCTGAAAATGTGTTAAAAACCTACAAACAACTGAGCTGAGCTCACAGTGAAGTTTACTCCTTTTTAGAATTCATTGTACACTAAGTCTCTACCTTTATTAAGGCAGAATAGGCCTGGCTCCACCAGGCAATAAGCAAATCCTGGTTAATTTTTTTGATTATTTTGATACTAACATTCTGAAAATTTCCAAGAGAATAAAATCTGGACATATTGTTCCAAATGGTGTCTGGCTGCCGTGAACTCCTTTTTTTTTTTTATTTTTACAGATCCTTTCTGAGTTATGTGAAATGGCTGGCTCATTTAAAGGCAGTGGATCCATAACTCAAAAAACACCTGAAACCAACAGGCATTCAAGAGAAAAATGCAATTAATTCTGTCAGAGGATCTGCCTTCAGGGCTGTGATTTCACAACCTGTTTTCTTTGCAGTACATGTAGCACAAGATTTCAGAACCTCCAGTCCACACCAGTGTGTGCTCAACCTCAGCACTTTTCTTTCCATTATGTGGGACACTTAAACAGGTAACTGGTCCTTTTCAATTTATTTTTTCCATAATTAAAAATTAAATAATTTGATATTTGGAAGTTATTTGCACAYTTCTTGGTGCAAAACCTCCCAGGAAGAGCATCTCACCTTGTCCTGCATCTCCAGGCRGGGGGAGCAATGGGTTGGGTTTCAGATCAGCTCCCACTCGTGTGACACAAAACGTGACCACTCTGCTGATCTGCTCCATTCTCTGAATGAACAGCCCAAAAATAAACTCACAAACAAGACTSCTATTGTGGGAATCTGGACTGTTGCTCACTCAAGCCCAGGGCCTCCTGATTTTGCTGTTTTCTGCAGTTTTCCTACAATAACAGCACTTTTCTCTCTTATAACTCACATTTCTCTATTCAGACTGGGTATTATTTTGCCCCATTTTGTGTGTAACCCTGGCTTTTTCATTATCTCCTACTCCTACTGTTATTTATTTAATATGATGTTATTCATTCCCCAAAATCTTGTTTAATATGCCAAATAGAGCAGACTGTCCTACCGGATGCTTCTCCTTAGCTATCAAAAAAAAAAAAAACCCAAACAAAACCCACACACGTAGATATACCTGCTCTCCTACAACCCAGGAAAAGTTTTAAACAGCTTACTACAAAGACTTCAAACATTAGAGTAAGTTCTTGGAAAGAAAAATTTTAAGTTCCTTGGCTGCACTGAGAGCAGACAGAMATGTGTGGGKTTTTTTTTAGGCTTTTTTGATAGMTGGCCAGAAATGCCCAGTGGGATGCAGTTTCCTGAAAGAGATTTTTAAGTCTTTGTCACTCCACAGTGCCACAGCTACTTCAGGTTCCGAGCAATTTGAAAGTGCTAAAATAAGGCAGAGTTTCATTTTTATTAAATTGCTAGCAAGCACTGGTATCAGTGAGTATCAGCTATCCAGACACTCACATATTGGCCTATATAATCTATATTCTTCTGGCAGGAATGAGGGTCTGACTGGCTGCTGAGCAGCCAAACCACAAAATAGTTCCCTTTTCCAAATCAAAGGAAGAGAGGGCACTTTCAGCTACCCTCCACACTTTTAGGGTCAGTTTCTTTCCTGTCCTAAAGTTTATTTCAGTAAACTCAAACAAAAGTGACTATTTATTTAGCAATCACCCACTCTTGCTTATATAAACATTACATGTTGATGTTATTCTTCTGCTCCCTAATTGCAGTTCCCTTGTAACTTGCTGGAAAGAATCAAAGCAGTGASAATGTGAAATACCTGCTCTTACAAGGTCCTTGGCTCTGCTCTCTTTGCATTCGTGAATATCTTGGACTGRCTTCTGCAAAGTTACAAAGCTGCTTTGACAAATGGATTTTTTCATTCTGGAAGAGCTCATCAATGCACAGAGGAGCGTCATATCAACTCCTGGAGGAAGTTCTACTGCTCAGGTTCAACCACAGTGCAAGAGAGGCACAGAAAAAGGATGTCTCCATAAAAATGGAAGACACAAACGCAGCCCTGAACACTGCTGCACCGGGCACTGTCTCAGCAGCAGCAGTAAGGACTTTGTAAAGGTTTGTAAAGGTTTGTAAAGGTTTGTAGGGGTTTGTAAAGGTTTGTAAAGGTTTGTAAAGGTCCAGGACTGTCAGCCAAAGGGTACAAACACTGTGAGTGCTGGCAGGGAGCTCATGAAGACAGGGATATTTCATCACACACAGGCACACAAACAGCACCCACAGAGGGCAGGAACGATGCACCGGGAGGCATTTGGGGCTACAGATCCACATTTCAGCACAGACCMGCACTGAGCCACAACTGCAGGACACAGCTTTGGGCTCCTAACAGGGTGCTGAGGACTGGAAATGTCTGTGGGAGGACAGCAACACAGACAGCAACAGAGAGGAACGAAAGGAACCCACCTTGAGCAGCTCATAATGCTGGATACCGTTGACACCGATGTCGGGGTCGATGGCYGACGGGACAGAATAGCGGGAATTGATGGCCGTGTTCTCGGGGATGGAGATGTTGATGACCGTCGAGGGGAACAGGGGGGCGTTGTCATTTATATCCTCTATCAGGAACCTGATCTTGACCAGCCTGAACACCTCGTCGGGCAGCACAGCCACCTCCACCTCGTAGAAGCAGCGGCTCTCGCTGGAGATGCCGGCGCACAGCTTCTCGCGGTCGATGCGGTTGGCGGCCGTGAAAATCTCGCCCGTGTTCTCCTCCACCCTCACCAAGGGCACGTCCCCGGTCTTGTAGACCAGCTTGAACTGCAGYGGGGAGGACAGGGGCACGTCGGGGTCCAGCGTCAGGTTGAGATCCTTGAGCAGGTTGCCGATGAGGACATTTTCGGGCAGTTCTTCCCGCACGGTGTAATTCTTCTCCTGCGCGCCAGATTGGAACACGATGCAGGCCAACAAGACTGCCAAGAGGTAGGTTCCAGACAGCAAGTCCATCTCCAGAATGGCTAATGAGTATTCGTGCAGAACACCAGGAGGAGCTGGGAAAAGGGAAAAAAAAAAAATCCTTTAAAAGTCACAGAATACAGTGTTCCTAAAGGATAGAGACACTAAAGGAGTGCATTTCCTAAAACAAGACAACATGAGCCATCTGAAAACCTTATTAGTGAAATCACATCTTATTTAATCCTTTCTAAATATGGATAAAATTCCTTGCACAACTTTTTGCTTAAAACTATTAACTGTTGGTAAAGTCACATCTGACTTAATCCTTCCTAAATATGTACACAAGTCCTTGYACAACTTCTTCTCTTAAAACTATTAGCTACTAACTAAACACTGAGGTAAGAATTTTAAGGCCGGATCATATTGAATGAAGAAATAAGTACAGAAATCCCTATTTGCAGCATTAGAGTTTCCTTTGCTATGTGGGAAGATCCTTTGATCTCTCTTCCACATTGTCCTCAATTTTCTTTTTGTTTCCTAAGAAAAAAGTAGGCAAGAAGTTTGCAAGCAACCATCTGCTGAGAACCAGATCTTTTTATACCTCCTGCTTAAATAWGGGAATAGAAGAACACTTGTCTTAATTCTCCCCCAAGTTTTGCACTGACAAAGTTATGTAATGTTTGTTAACAATGGCAAGGAAATCTGGGTATTTTTAATCCAGGAACTTAAACTGGCAAGAAAATGTTATTATCTAAGTGGAGTCTGGTGAACTTCAGCCAACAATGTGGGGAAATCTGTCTAGTGAACTGCGASAAGTTTCATATAATTTTAAATTTGGTAATGTCTGTTCTTAGTACTCTGGAATACCAATACCCTTAAAAAGAAGATACAAATTTGTTCTTTCAGCACAGAGGAAAATTCTGTACTTTTCAAGCTGGTTTCTGCATAGTAATAATAATGTATTCCCTCTCCAGACTGTTAACAAGCTCAAGAAAGATGGGAGTGGGATGGGAGGGCTTACAGGCACACACAGATATCTGTGTAGCTGCCTACAGCCTTCAGCCAAACATTTCTAAGAGATAAACCACACTCTTGAACTCCATGTRTGGAATGTGCTGTTTTGCCTAATCTTTACATAATTCTGCCATTCCAGAATTCAGGATTTTCTAGGAGAGCATTTCTGTAAGGCAAATGTTCACGAGTTCCATGTAAAGTGATTTTTCTCCTAAATGAAATCTCAGCTCCCATCAGCTGAGCGTCTGTTTCAAATATACCTGCACGAACACATCTACATTCTTTTCATTGTGCAGGCAAAAGTGTAATTTTGTTCCCTGTCTCTTCTCATTTTATTCTCCCTGTCATAGCATAGATTGATTTACTCCTGCAGATCAAGTTGCAGCGCTTGAAGAAATTACTGAAGCCAGTAATTGCCTTCACCCCTTAGTTACTGCCTTTCAGCACTGCCACTTCCAGGGTAATTTAAACTAAAAGGTTTGATTTTGCACTGAAACAGATTAGGAACAATTAATATTGCTATTCCATTTAAACACTGCAGACTGCTTTGGACTGGAAGCAAGTAACAGGTAAAGAACATTCCAGCTCTGCAAGGTGGATCCTGCACCTCGGCAGGATTTAACTGTTTGGCATTTTCTGGCTTTATGATTATACAAAAGAAGCAATGTGAAATAAAAACCCAATGCTGCAAGTATCCATTTGTGGAAAAAGGCAYTGCTGACTGAGAAATTCAATTAACCTGGAGGGGACTGGTGGCAAGGGGGGGAATGGGATGGGCAGCTGGTGTGGCACCAGGGCTGCAGGGCCTGCATCATTTTGGGAATTCTCTGATTCATCAGAGGATTTTAGGGACTCAGTGACACAACACCCAAACCAGGTGGCCAGAGGGAAGCAGCACTGCAGGACAAACAGCCTCCTATAAACCATTACAACATGACATTCTAAATATGCAAATGAGGAATCATCAGCAGACCCTGATTATCATTAGTGGTAACACCACGGGAGCAGCGTGAGCTTAATGAATAACTGTGGTGACAGTGCACAAGTGCATCAGTGTGACTGTTATCATCTTATTTATTAACTGTCTTTATTTCTTTAAATGCACCCCCAGCAATTGTCACCCCACTGAAGTAATTGCCCACGTCTGTTCAACCTGCAGAGTCCTTATTTCAGAAAAACACATCTTTGTGTCCACTATGATTGAAATAAATTTATTTGCATTGTTTCCTATGGAAAACACAAATAAAAATGTATAGGTTACAATGAAAAGTTGAGATTTAAATGCTACCCTGAAAAGAAAAATCAGAATGGTTGCATGTTCTGTGCACACTAGAAAGTACTGCTTTGCCACTTCTTCCTCTTTATTACAAATTTAAAAGAAAAAATAACAAAAAGGAGGTAAAAGCCCCTTCACATCCTGATGCTTTTAGAGTAATATTTTAAACTTACAGTTAATTTCTGAGGCGAGGAAATGAAAAAAACCAAACCAACAACCATAAATATAAACCAAATTCCAGTCCCTRCTCCAAGTTCTTCTGTGACAATACTGATGCAAGTATTGCTTATAAATTATAAAATAAAATTATTGCATACTAAGGTATATAAATCTTCCAAATATTTTTTTCTTTTTTCCACAAAGCAATATGAGGTTGAGTACATAAATGAAGCAATCTAAAGAGTTCATCAACAACATTCCTGAATCAGTTCTGAAAGCTGAGCTCATACCAGGAGATAATTTATATTAAAACTCAATTGTAAGCCTTTAACCCCAGTTTTGACTGCAGTGGAGTTTCCAGGGATTATAAAATAAGAACAGCAGGACTCAAAGAGCTCTGTATGGAAACCTGCAGGGTGGAACTTAGCATGACATTCTTACACATACTTTTATCACTTCTTTTTTCAAAATTAAACAAAGTCTGAGCCACTCTATTGAAATTCTTTTTGTGTCATAGTAAACAAAATACTCTAAAGCATGAAAAAAACAGCACAGCACACTTCCAAATCATGTTAGGTAAATGCTAACATGACTTTTTGAATGACTGAAGGGTACAGACATGGAATCAATAGAAAGTGTTGGTTTAACACACAAAAACAACCAAGAATGGCTTACAATGCTTGAACTTCTGCAGAATACACTTTCTTAATTTTTTTTTTTTCCAAAATAATTCTAGTAATAGTTTTGAAGCTCTGCTCCAGAGCTGTAGGCCTTCAAGGAGAAAACCTCCCAACGTGACACAAGTTTTGTGCTCAGCTCTGGAGTAGAATACCCCGAGTTGTGAGGAAAGTGTTGTTCTCCCAGAATCCTATTTATAAAGGCATCGCTGTGCGTTCACTGCCTGTCATTTGTGCCACTGATGGGGATGCTATGGCAACAGAGATGCAAAGGAGAGCAGAGAGAGGCACTTCCCAGCAACCAAAAACATTCATGAAATCACAGAGTTCCAGGCTGCAACACTGAGCAAACACAAAAGTACAGGAGGCCAAGCAGAGCTGTCYGAGTCTAAAGGAGCTGCCATAGGTTGAAGCACTCACACTTTTAAGGCAGTTAAAAAAACCCACCAAAATTAAGAATAAATAAAATGGTTTAACAGAAGGTAACTCGAAGCTTGCCAAGCCATTTTCCCAGCTTTCAAGAGAATGCATTGATGTCTGTGCTGGTGACTTCCCAACTAGGAAGGCACATGGCCCAGATGGACAAGATGGAGGGTAGGAGGAGGAAAAAAAAAAAAAAAAAAAGTTGAAACTTGCTTTTCTTCATCTGGCTGTCTACGCACTCAAACATACCTGCTTTTTTGTCCAATACACCAAATATTAATGGCACAATTTAAATATTATCACAGTTCATTATCATCTTCATTTGGCAGCTGTCAAATCACACCTTGAAAAGCAGAGAGAATGTAAGAACTGTAACCACCTAATGGAGCAGGATGTGAAGGCAGAATCCAAATCTGTTCTGTACACACACGGCTCCATCTGGTCCCACCTGAGTGAGAAATCCTTTACCTCATTACAGGCCTCGTTATTTCTTCCTTAAGAGGATCTCAGAAAAAGAATAAAGGGGGTTAAAGAGTTCAGGTGTCCCCTTCAGATTAAAAAAAAACCAACAGTGTTTCTTGATAGCTGGATTCAGATTTTAATTAGGGTAGGGACAAACAAGCTGTGGTAATATTTTGTAACTGCTATATCAAGTTTGAAGAAAAATGTATCATACTTTAAAAAATTAAGACTATTGCATTGAAGTCCATAACTATATCAATATACAATTATTGAAATTGWAGCAGAGAAGAAACCCTGAAAATATCACCACCGTTCTTATCTTTATATTCCYGAACCAATTTTAATTACTTGCACAAATTTAGCTAGCACGCCACACTTTTTCAATATAATATCCTTTTCATTTGCTGCTAATCCACTGTGGGCTCTTTAAATAGGAGTATTTAAATCCCTGAATTAAAATGGTGTTTCTCAGAGCCAAAGATCCCCACGACACAGCTCTCCCTGTCAGTCAATACCGTGATTAGAACGTTATTTCACCGGCCAGCGAGCGATTTGCAATTCTTCCACTTCACTCCCTCCAAAGTGCCCACTGACAATTCAGCAGCTCTGCACAGGTGTTGAGTTCCTGAACCATGCTGAGATGGATTTCAGSTTTATCCTGGAGTGGGAATGTTTGGTGCTGCAGGGTTTTTAGGGGTTTTGGTTGTTGGATTGGGGTTTTTTTGTTTGCCCTAAGGGTGCACACGGGGAGGGCTCTCTTTGCCACCACACAGCCCAGGTGAATTCAGGGAACTGGCTGGGTTTGATGGGGATTATTCCTAAAAAGGTAGAGAATTTACAGATATTTCTTACAGGTTCTGATGATAATAAAAAGCACTACAAAGTTGTTGCCTGACAAACGCCCCCTCATTTTTTTGTAAGACACAAATGCCAACAGCCAACCTGACCTCCCTGTCACGCTCTGCAGTGTTTCAAACATCAATTATTTGCAGCCATCACTATTTATCCACAGCATCCACTCCCTACACGCGATATTTCATTACCATATTCAAAGAAAAAAAGACCTACCTCAAAGAGAAACAGA